CTCTCTATCTATCTATCTATCTCTATCTATCTCTCTCTATCTATCTATCTATCTATCTGTGTGTCACACACACACACACACACACACACACACACACACACACACACACACACACACACATACACACACACACACACACACACTCACAGGATGCAGCATTATGCTTGTGTTGCATGTTTCTTCCTTGTAGAATGGCATTCTCATTTTTTCAGCTGGTTTATTAATGCCTTGGCTCCATTTGCGATAGAAGTGGTGAGCGAGCTGCTACTCTGTGGTCGTCCTCAACATAAGGACCTATTGATTCGGAATGTGAGAGCAGGTCAACAGACTATTTTGGCTCTGTTCTTATTACCTTTTCTTTTTTTTTCTTCTTTTTTTTTGGGTTTTCTGTTCTTTTCGTTGACTGATCGCTTGCTGTGGAATGATGGGGCTGAATGTCACGTCTGCAGGATTTCCGACTTCGAAACACTGAAGAGTACAAGCAATGGTATCTTGCTGAGCACAAAGCTCCTGAATTACAGGTCTGCATTCCACTCCTTCCGCTTTTGATTTTGTTCTTGTCTTTATTTCCTGTGATTTCTTAATTCCCCCCCCCCCCCCCCCCTAACTTCCGCTGCCTGTCTATGGTATCTTCCTGAACACAAAGCTCCTGAATGACAGGTCTTGGTTGCACGCCTACTCCTTTTGGTCTGGTGCTTGTCTTCCTGTCAGTTTTTTTAACTATTTTTTTTGCAACTTTCCGGTACCGGTCTACTACCCTGGGGTTGGCACGAGCACCTGGAGGATTCCAGGCTGGCTGTTGGGGGCTTCAATCTATTTGTGAGGAGCAGTGTGTGCTTGAAACTGGGTCCAACATCCCTTACTGCATATATTGTCTGATCACGACTAGAAGCAGAAATGAGCAGCCCAGCATTGATTGCCTCTTTTTTCAAAGAGGGATTAACTGTCTGCCTGTATGTTCCCTGCCCTTCCTTTCTTTCCGCTCCCTGTCCTACTGTAGATCAATCTCCCCTCCTATGGCCCCTGTTGTCGAGGAGGGTGATGAAACTCAGCTGTCCTGCTCGTCCGAGATGTCCTCAAAGAGATGCCTTTGACTCGTCTCCTCAGTTAGCTGACCGACAATGTCTGATAGGCAGAAGGTGGTAAGGGTGGTGTCAGTAAAGGTGGGGGTGGGAAGGGCGAAGACCGATTCCCCAGCTGGAGGAGAGAGGGTGGGGGTCCAGGGGAAAGGGGAGGAGGAGATGAGAGGTAGTTGCTTACATGGTCTGTTTGCCGACCCTGTTCTTCAGAGCCTGCTTGTTGAGGCCCCGGGGTGGGGTGGACTGGACCACCTTGAATCACCTTGAATCTAAGGGACAGGCTGAGAAGATTAACAAACCCGTACAATAGCTGCGGCGGCATTACATTTGTCCTTATCAAGTTGATTGGGATGTCAAACTGCCTCAAAAAGTTTGGCTGTATAATAATGCTATACGCTCAGCCACCTGGCAATCACCTAATGAACTGCACTTAGGCTGGAAACCTATAACTCCTCTTTTGCTTTCAGACCTTTCCTCATAGGATTGGCCCTGGCTTCCTAGCATGACAGAGCTCTGATTCGGACATGCAACAGGAATGTTTTCTGTCTTTCAACTTTTATGAGACTTACCTCTCTGAAGCTTTATGGTATTGTTTGCTATTCATGATTGCTAAAGAAGTGTGGAGTTATTTTGGATTCATTACAGTCGTCCTTATTGATGTTAAGCACAAGTGAACAATCTAATAACCCGATGTCCATACGCTAGGGGCAATGATCCTAGTGCGTGTACGATTGGGTAATTCAGCTAAATTTTGTATTGGCTGGAAGACTGAAAAAAACTCGGTTCGTGCTTGTACGACTTATTCTTCGTATGGTGTCTACACTGCAGATGGGTCATGGATCAGATATGAAGGTGATAAGATCTTAGCCAAAGGGCCAAGAAAGGTGTTGGCTGTCGTAGCTCTAATCAATATATGCTTCCCTTTTCTGCTGTCGCCATGCCAATGATACCAGGAGGAAGCAGTATACGGGTTGACCGAGCTTTACAGAGACGAGATAAAAACAGCAAGGCTGGTGAGTTTCAAACCGCAACGACACTTCTTTTTCTTTTTCAGTTCATGTTTATCCTTAGGCGGCAAGTTAGGCCATTAAGCTGAGAGGGGCTTTACACAGGAGGATATAACTGACCTGTGTGCTTACAGAAGAGTAGTTCGACGTCGAGGGGTCTACAACGTTATGTCGTGAGGTTGTCGGTCAAACTTGGTGCTGAGACCCTCATGATTGCTGTCTGAGAAATCTGCACTTCCCTGAGAAAATGTCGTCTTTTGATCTGATTATGGAGATTTCCGAATCTGAGTCTGTTTTGCTGTGTTTTCTGAGTCTGTGTTGTGTCCTCCTTTCGAGTCCATGTCCGAGTCCAAGCACATGTGACGAATCCTTCCAACGCTGATCTTCTAGCCTTTTCTGGAAGGTTGATGATATGCCATGTATGGTTGGTGCAGATGTTGAGTTCTCCGAAGGCAGAGTCGCAACTTGCATCTGTGGAAATCGTAAACAAGTACTACAGGTGGTCAACGACTCGTTGAATCTTTGCTGAAAGTAATTCTGAAGTGGAAAGAATTCCAAAATTTAAAAGTTTTCTGAAGTCGGGTTTCAACGATTTAAAAGGTGTTGAAATGATGAATGCGCCCCCTGTGGATAATCATTGAACATTCTAAAAATTTTGAAGTGTTGAAAACGTCGAATATTATGAATGCCTCCCCCTGTGTGTGAATGCATATCGAGTATTAATACTGTATTATTGACATTAAAGATTTTGAAAACTTCAAAGTGGTGAACATGCTGAAAATTTTGTTGTGATCAGTTTAATATCTGATCAGTAAAAAAAAAAAGCAAAAAAACTTTGAAGTGGTGAACATGCTGAAAATTTCGAACACCCTCCTCTGGGTGTTTGAATGCATATTGATGCTGAAGATTTTGAAAATTTTGAAGTGGTGAAGATGCCGCGAATTTTGAACCCGTTCTCCCGCCGCCCCCTGTTTTGTTTTCTTTAAGGCGAGGGTGTTCATAATTTTTAGCATGTTCACCGCTTCAGAATTTTTAGAATTTTTAGAATTTTCATAATATGAATGCATATGAACGCTGAAGATTCTGAAAATTTTGAAGTGGTGAAGATGCTGAAAAATCAACTTCCTCCCCCTGTTTTGTTTTGTTTAGGGAAGGGGGTGTTCAAAGTTTTAGCACCTATGTAAATGCTGAATATTAATGGACCCGTTAACCTTCTTTCGTTGCAGGTTGCGAATCCTGGTTGTTATCCGACAACTGTTCAACTGGCACTATCACCATTGCTTAGGGTGAGTCTATGATTGCTTTCTCTTCCCGACAAGATGCTCCCTTCAAATAGGTTTGTCATGCATTAGTTTTGTGTGCACGGCAGCAACCAAATTCTGATATAGGCAACAAAGAGTATGTTCTTTACTGTACACAAGAGAGGGCTCTCTGGAGGACCCGGTTTTGCAGACTTTTTGTACTTCAGCAGAACTTATCTTTTCACTGGCACCACCTTCCCCTCCACCCGCTCACTAATGCAAGGTAACTTGAATTCTGATTGACGGATGCAAAAACTCCAGACCCGCCTTTTTGTGAAAACTCATCCACCGGGTTGCAGCCAACCAGTTGGCAATCTGCCGACCTGTAGGGCTGACCGGTTGGCGGCGAATCGGTCTGTAGTTGGCATCATCCGTCAGCTTCCGTGGAACCCTGTTATTATTGTTACTCAGTTACTGTTTTTTTAACTTTTTTTACTACATGAATGCAAGATTTTGACTGTCCCCCTCTAAAGGAAAGTCCGTATGAATGTATGAATGTAGTGCCGTGCTTCCCCCAGTCGCCTTTTAGCCTTTGTTTGTGGAGTTGACTGTCCCCCTCTAAAAGAAAGTCTGTATGAATGTAGTGTTGTGTGTCTTGCAAACAAGGAGTTCTGATGTGGCCATTCTTTGGGGCATTGTGCTTGTGTGTTGATTGCAGGATGGACTTATCAGCAGTGAGGGTATTGTCATTGATGCGAAATCAGGGGTGTCAGGCGCTGGTAAGCAAAACGAAGTGAGCAGTGGCTTCCTTTGCTAAGGCAGGGGTGGAGGGTTATCAGTCGCCTTTCCAGTCGTCAAATTCAAATTCCTGGTCCAGTCGTCAAATTCAAATTCCTGGTCCAGTTGTCAAATTCAAATTCCTGGTCAAACCTTTGTGAAATCTTGGTCTAAGTGACGTCCACAGGAAGTTCTGAATGGATCCCTTTGCTGCTAGAAGGTCTGACTATGCAAATCGAAGGAGCTCTGCTGGCGATGTGGATGCCGACTTTGTCGCTGACTGAGCAGTCAAGGGCGATTTCTGGTCAAACCTGTGTGGAACATTGGTCTAAAGTGTCAGAGTGCTGAACAGATCGCTAAGTTCTCTTGCTGGTGCAGCAGTTGTCAGTTCTTGGTCAAACTTTGGTCAAACCTTGGTCTAAGCTGCGGAGCTGACACAGCAGGCAAGGTTCAACTCCAGGTCAAAAGTTGGTCAAATGTGACAGAGCTAAGTGCGGAATTGACGGGCGTGCTGTTGAAAGAGATGGGTACGTGAAGGGTGACGCTGTGGTAAGGAGAGCATGCGATGCCAATGTGGATTTGAGGGCTTTGGCCTTTGTCGGAAGCTAGCTAACCCAGCACGCTTGTAAGGGGGGGGGAGGCGGAGGGACATTGGCCATCAGTGGCGGATCAGTTCCTTAGCACATCTTGGTCTACCCCATTGCTGTTAAGATATGGCTATGTCAAAAAAGCAGCTGTGGTAATGAGGGCCCAGTTTGGCATTTGTGTTTGCCCAAATCCAGACAATTGCCATCGGGAGTAGCAGAGTAGAACACGCGAACAGAACCCATGACAAGCTAACAATGTGCATGGTTGCATGATCTTGAGGAAGTTGCCTCAGAATGATGAATTGCTGTGATTATGGAAGGCTGAGAATGTTGAGATGGTTGGTTATTGCATGTTCAAGAAAAACAGTGTTCCATGGTGTTCTACATACCTTGGTTTCTGGAAAACAGGGTCAGAAAATCCCCGTTCAAAAAGGCCCAGGACCCAGGTCAATCTCTAAGTTGTAGGGCAAGTCCAAGGCCATAGAGGCGTAGGGGAGGGGGTGAGAAATATTCTCAGTGCAGTAGGACGGAGGACGGGTGTCCAGCGGCTGTGCCTAACCAACACCGTTCTTTTTTCAATACCTGTGGTTTTTCTTGTTTTGAGGGTCTGCTTGTCTTGTTCGTGGGACTTGAGAGTGGAAAGGGGTGTCAACGGGTTGGGGAGGCTCGTGGGATACGAGACGACCATGGGCGTGAAGGCAGAGGTACGCCTGGTTCGGAGGATATCGTAAAGACCTCACACAGGGTGGGGCAGTGGGGTTGGGGAGACATGGGGATCTAAGGAGACGGAGCGTGGCCAGGGAGGTCAAATGGCAGGCTTTTCAATGCTGTGCCGTGAGAGGGGAATGGGGTGGGTTGACTATGGTGGCAACAACGACGACAGCTCCTAAACTTTTAAACCGATAACTTGCAGACTCAGGTACTTGCTTTGGGGATGGAGGGGCATTTTCTGAGACATGGTGCAATTTAAGGAATGCTGATATAAATCATAAAATGATAAAACTTCATAAAACTTCATAAAAGCATGGGTGCCTCCTTGTTCCAGAAAGGTGCCATACTTTGCTTGCAGTTCAGACTGCACTTCCATGCTTGTGTGTGAGTATAGTTCGAGGTTTCGAGCAATACTGAATATGGTTTTGTATATGGATGCTCAAATGTAAAGATGTTAGTTTCCCAGCGGTGTCTGAGTCTGGCAATTCCAGATACAGGAGGAGCCCATTGTGAAATAGTAAAATACCTTTTTTCAAGTTTTTCAACTTTTTTGTAGTTTCTTGCTTTTTCAGAAATATAAAGACTCCTAAATAAGGTACTTTACAGCTATCTTGCTTGCATGCACTTATTCAGGATTGAAGCACGAGTACACCACACGCCGGCCCGCAGGTGTCAGAATGAAACCCGCACCACTTCGGAGGTTGCCGATTTTTTTTCCCAACGGCGCCCCACGCCGCGTGCCCCCTCCGAGTTTTGCTTGTGGCGACAAAAACTTTCTGCAAGGCTGGGCCCGTGTACTGGCGGTTTGAGGTAGCGATAGAGAAGCTTCAACTGTGGCTAGCAGATTGGGGGGGAGGGGTTTGTGTGTGGAAAGTGGGGATCGGCTAATGTTTGTGGAGGGCAAGTTGGGCACAGGCCTTACAACCTTGAGTACCATGCTGGGCTTTATTTCCGGGACGGGTTGCGAGGGTACACTTGCCTGATGTTCTTTTGTTGTGGTATCATGTATGTTATCATGTTTTTATTTACTTTCACAACAGCCAACAAGGAGAAAGAAAGGAAAGGAAAGCAGGAAAAGTTCTGCTCTCGTGCCGTGCATAGTACATAGCCTACAGAGGTCAGTGTGCACAGTTGCAGGAATCTAGAGACTGCGACAATCAGGGCGAAAGATGGAGCGCACCATCGGTTGGTCACCGTGGAAGTAGGTGAACTCCAGGTGGTCCTTTTCATGTGCCTTGCTTGCTTGTGAAACTTTTAAAAAGTATATACAGCACTACATCTCCAATTCAAACACTCCAATGCAGAGCAGGTCCACTGTGCGCCTCTTCGTGTTGCTGCCCATGCCTTTGTGTAGTCCCTTGCAAGGCAGGTCTAGTTTCCATATCTTGTTTGTTTGTCTACATAATGGGGTTGGATGCTTGTTCATGTGAATGCTGTTGCCTCAATGCTTTTCCTTTGTGCTTTTTTGTTTTTGTTGTTGTTGTTGTGTTGACCAACCGATCATGATGCAGGACGCTCGGCGAAGGAATCAAACCTTTACTCAGAGGTTGCAGAGGGCATGTATGCCTACGGAATAACAAATCATCGACATGGTAGGCCTTCTTTCCCAGTTTTGACCCACAGCTGCTATTTGCATCTAGGGTATGCATCACTTACCAACATACTTGCAAGCAGACGGACCGGACGAGCGTCCGGTCCGGTCTGCTTTGCCACGTGCGGCACCCTCCCCCCGGACCAGACGGACCCGGACCGGACCGGACAGGGCCATTTTTTTTTTGGGGGGGGGGTGTGGGGTGTAACTGGTAATCGGGCGGACATTCGTGCGCCGCGCGGGTCCGGTCCAGCGGTCTGCCGCACGTGTGGAACCGCCCGGATGGCGTCCGCTTGCAAGTATGCTTACCAATCTGCAATGGAAACCTTGTTGCATCATGCAGTTACCTCCATGCTCCCTGACAACCCGACCTGAACAGTGAACACCGAAATAACCCTGTACCAGGCTGGATCGGCAAACTGGCACCACACAGGAACCAAATCGGGACAAAAGTGGACCTCAGCTGGAAGTGGGCATCAACTGGAAACGGGCTGGGAAACAAGCTGGCGCCAAGTAGGAACTGAACTGGGACCACACAGGAGCCAAATTGGAACCAAATTGGAACCAAATTGGAACCAAATTGGGAACCAAATTGGAACCAAATTGGAACCACACAGGAACCGAACTGGAACCAAATTGGAACCCATCTGGAGCTGGACATCAATTGACAACGGGCTGGAAAACAAAACTGGCACCACACTGAAAGCAAGAAGGACCCGAACTTCAGCCGAATTGAGACCCAACTGGAACTTTTAACTCAACTGGAACGGGGCTCCATCTGCAACCTCGTATGATAAAAGTTCAGCAAAGTTGAGTGAACTGAATTCAAACCTCTTATGATCAAAACTGAAACCTCGTATGATGAAATTGAGATCCATCTGTAAAACTGTAACTCAACTGGAACCGAGCTCAACTGCAATCAAGTTCGGTAAACTGAGCTGAGCTCAATCTGAAACCTCTTACGATCAAACCGGTGGCAAGGAGGAACCATACCATGGACAAACTGGAACTGAGAAGGACCCGAAATGGAGCCAGTACCAAACTGCAACTCGAACGGAAACCAGACAAGAATGAAACCTGAACATGCATGGGGCACACGTCTCCATTGTGGGCTGTCCAGTGTGCCAAAAAGTGGTGCAGCACATGAAGTATTGGACATATTAAACCGCACAAGTACACCGCCTAGGCAAACTTGAGAATAAAAAATGAGTCATTCCGAGAAGTTCGTCTAGACCAAAATGGCTGGCAGCACTAGTGTAAGGAAAAAGAAAACGCTGCTCTCGTGTTTCGGCAGAGCGTGGCGAGCAGGGGTAATCCACCTCGGCGAAAAAAGGCTCGGATGAACTGCCGGCTTAAATAAATAAGTCTCTGGGACATTGTCTTAGACAATGGTGCTTGATGCCTAATGATCCCAGATGAATGGTGCTTGATGCCTATGATCCTGGTCAGTACTCAATGCAAGACAATGTCATTCCATTGCAACTCAAATGAAAGAGATTGAAGAGTTGAGACAAGGGAGGAATAAGAATGAAGAATAGAAGAAGAAGAAGAAAAAGAAGACGAACAAACATTTGAACCAATGTTATCTATCCCCCTTCTCTCCCCCAGCATCTCTCCCTCATGACCTCCGCCGGTATCTTAATAAACAACAATAAGGGAGCGAGAATCAATGTCCGATCACCTCCCCTTTACTGCCAGCACATAAAGCTCTCTCCTGTTAGCCACAACCTCACTCTTCTTCACGTGGTTGCATCCCTAGCTATGGCGAACCATCCATGTGCAACACAGATGTTCAAACGACAATGCAAACACTACTATATGCCTCTCCGGTCTAATCCCGCTACAGCCACACTCTCGGATGAAGTTCCTGCTCAACCGGTACCCTCGCATGGGCCTTCACAAGCAGCGTTCATCAAGGAAGTGGAGATGAAGGTCCATCTTAGCCGAACGCGAGTCACATTCCCGCTTCCTAACTCCTCCGTCCTCGTACGTCTATTGATCCTCCATAGCCTGGCTGTTTCCATCACGCGCACCCCCATAGCTTTTAGGCCTACTACCCCTTCCCTACTACTCAACAGCCATGGAGGTCTTCACCATCACCCTCCAGCTCCACCTTTCTCCAGATGAGCGAAGAACATTTACGCAAAGTCCTAGAAAAGCTGAGGAAGTAATAGTTCAAGCCTTAAAGGTAAACCCAAGAAGTGCGAGTGAGCAAAGCAGCATGTGTTGTATCTTGTCCATGTTATAGATGGAGATGGTGTACAGCCTGATGATAGTAAGATTGCAGCAATTAGAGACTGTACCCAAGAACCTTAGATAAGTGGCCTCATTCCTAGGAATGGCGAATACTGCAGAAAGTTCATTTGGGACTTTTCCAGTATAGCGGCACCAGTTCCGAACTTAAGGAGGGGGAAGCTATTTGGCTTTGAAGAAAGCGTTGGTAGAATACCTGGTACTGAAGATTGCAGATCCTTCCTTGCCACTTGTGGTGAGCACGGACAATCGCCAGTACGGGATAGGAGCTGCATTACAGCAGGATGGCGGCAAGGGCTATAGACGGGGAGAGTACATGTTTAAAAGACTGCCGTCAGCAAAAATAGCAGACTCTGTACATGAGTGAATGAGAGTTCTATGCCCTCTATGAAGCCCTCAGACATGACGACATCATCTACTAGGAAGAAGATGGGCTTACGGCCATGGGTCAGTTTGACTTTGGGCTGAAACCGGTGAAGGGGAAATACAATGTTGTCGCCGATGCCTTGTGTTTCTCAGGGCCAGTGCTGAAGATAGCTGGCAGATTGCTGTTTCTCATGGCCAGTGGTGAAGATAGACTATGAGTTCCCTCTAATGAAGACAAGATAGCTGACGGATTGCTGTTTCTCATGGCCAGTCGTGAAGATAGACTATGTATTCCCTCTAATGAAGAGAGATCATTCTGGGAGAAGAGAAGATAGCTGACGGATTGCTGTTTCTTACGGCCAGTGGTGAAGGTAGATAATGTGTTCTCTCTAATGAAGAGATCATTCTGGGAGAAGCTTTCTACAGCATGAAGAGCATCTACGCAAAGTCCTGGCAAAGCTAAGAGAGAATAAGTTTAAGTTAAATCCCAAGAAGTATGAGTGGGAGAAGTAACGTGTGTTGTATCTCAGCCGTGTCATAGATGGAGATGCTGTATACCCTGATGATAGCAAGATTGCAGCAATTAGAGACTGGCTGGTGCCCGAGCACCTGATGATAGCAAGATTGAAGCAATTAGAGACTGGCTGGTGCCCGAGAACCTCACAGAACTCTGCTCATTCCTAGGACTGGCTAATTGCTCCAGGAAGTTTTGACTGCCTTCGGCCATATGTCTTCACCACATATGCTTGATTGAGTCCAAGTAGAGAGAGAGAGAGAGAGAGAGAGAGAGAGAGAGAGAGAGAGAGAGAGAGAGAGAGAGAGAGAGAGAGAGAGAGAGAGAGAG